TTTTTTTTTTTTTTTTTTTTAGTTGGAGTCTCACTGTATCGCCCAGGCTGGAGTGCAGTGGCATGCTCACGGTCACTGCAGCCTTGTTCTGCTGGGCTCAGGTGATCATTCTGCCTCTGCCTTCCAATTAGCTGGAACTACAGGCACATGCCACCATACCAGGCTAATTCTTAAATAAAGAATTGTAGAGATGAGGTCTCACCAAGTTGCCGAGGCTGGTCTCGATCCCACGGACTCAGGCAGTCCTCTCACCTCAGCCTCCCAAAGTGCTGGCATTATAGGCATGAGCCACCATGCCCAGCCAGCTATATAAATACTAACTGACTAAAATACAGAGTAAGGCGAACATTTCATATATATCTATGTATGTAGATGCTGGGTGATGATGTAAAGTGAGAGTCCATGGGTTGTGGTCAAAAGCTTCTCTGGGTTATATTGTCTGAAGAAGGAGGCAAGTAAACAAACAAGATAATTACAAATTTGAGGGTCCAGGGTGGAGAGGGTGAGGGAAGGAAGAAAAATTTGAGGGTCTACTTTATTTTATTTATTTATTTTTATTTATTTATTTATTTATTGAGTCAGAGTCTTACTCTGTCACCCAGACTGGAGTGTAGTGGCATGCTCATAACCACTGCAGCCTCGACCTACTAGGCTCAGGCAATCCTTCCACCTCAGCCTGCCAAGTAGCTGAAACTACAGGCATGCACCACTATGCCTGGGTAATTTTTCTTGATTTATTGTAGAGACAAGGTCTCACCAAGTTGCCCAGGCTGGTCTGGAACCCCTGGATTCAGGCAATCCTCTCAACTCCGCCTCCCATAGTGTTGGTATTACAGGTATGAGCCACAGCACCCAACCTACTTTATGTATTTGTTTATTATTTATTTTTGAGTCAGAGTCTCACTCTGTCACCCAGGCTGGAGTGCAGTGGCATGATCCCAGCTCACTGCAGCCTCAAACTCCTGGGCTCAAGTAATCCTCTCACCTCAACCTCAGGAGTAGCTGGGATTACAGGCATCACACTTAGGTGAGTTTTAAATTTTCTTCGTAGGGTTGGGGTCTCACTGTGTTACTCAGGCTGGTCTTGAACTACTATGCTCAAGCAATCCTCCCTCCTTAGCTTCCCAAACTGCTGAGCCACCATGCCCAACTTGAGGATTTACTTTAGATAAGGTAGCAAGGGGAAGACCTCTCTAAGGAAGTAAGTTTAAACTGGGATACCGAAGAATTTCCAAAGAACTCAAGGAGAAGGCATTCCAGGGATAGACAGCTGTGCTATTCCTGAGAAACAATTACTAAGACCTGGAGATTTGGAAAGGGCTACCATGTATGAAGACTTGAAATAGGATGAGTGTGATTAGAAGCCCTGGTGGTGGAGGCCGAGACTATTGTAGGGAATGATGATATAACCTGTTGCACAACACACTGGTATGTATAGTAGTTTTCCTAAGTTTTCCTAAGGTGGAGAGGATTCTGGAAAGATGATATGGGGGCATAGTTTTTGAGTCTCCCCAAAATACCACCACATGAATCCCTCCATAAAAAAACACATGGAAGCCGGGCGATGTGGCTCACGTCTGTAATCCCAGCACTTTGGGAGGTTAAGGTGAGAGGATTGCCAGAGCCCATGGGTTTGAGACCAGCCTGTGCAACATGGCGGGACTTTATCTCTGCAATAAATCAAAAAATTAGCTGGAGCTGGGCTCGGTGGCTCACCCTGTAATCCCGCGCCTTTGGGAGGCTGAGGTGAGTGGATTGCCTGAGCCCGCGGGTTTGAGACCCGCCTGGGCAGTGAGACCTCATCTCTACAATAAATCAAAAAATTAGCCGGGAGTGGTAGCGCACGCTGGTAATTCCGGCTACTCGGAAGGCTGAGGCGGAAGGATCGCCGGAGCCCAACGGGTCGAGGCTGCGGTGGCCGGGAGCGGCCACTGCACTCCAATATGGGTGACAGAGTGAGACTCCAACTCAAAAAAATAAAAAAAATTATCTGGGCATGGTAGCGTGTGCCTGTAGTTCCAGCTACTTGGAAGGAAGGGGCAGAAGGATCACCCGTGTCCAACAGGTCGAGGCTGAGGTGGCCATGATCGTGCCACTGCACTCTAGCCTGGCTGACAGAGTTAGACTCTGACTCCAAAAAAAAAAAGCTGGGCTCGGTGGCTCAGCCTGTAATCCCAGCACTTTGGGAGGCTGAGGTGAGAGGATTGCCTGAGCCCGCGGGTTCGAGACCCGCCTGGGCAAGCGAGACATCATCTCTACAATAAATCAAAAAATTAGCCGGGCATGGTAGCGCACGCCTGTAGTTCAGGCTACTTGGAGGGCTGAGGCGGAAGGATCGCCAGAGCCCAGCAGGTCGAGGCTGCGGTGGCCGGGAGCGGCCACTGCACTCCAGTCTGGGCGACAGAGTGAGATTCCAACTCAAAAAAAAAAAAATGACAGCTGAGATGGCACCTTCTTGAGTAGACAAGAGCATGCAGTGCAGCTAGTTCTAAAGGGGCGAGCCATTTGGCCCACTGGGGTTCTCAGAAGTAAACCAACCAAAGTGTCTTTCCAGGGCAAAGCTTTATATGCAGGACAAACCGCTGGGAACAGAACTGAAATGAGCAGCAGGAGATCAGTAGGGACAAAGGAAAAAAGAAGTCTGTATAAAGGTGAGGAAGAGTGTAGGAAAACTAATTTCATGTAAAAATGGGCTATAATTTCCTTGTTCCTTCTCCATTCCCACTGCTCTACTTGACTAGCCTTAGAAAATGAGCTGTAGGCCAGTCATGGTGGCCCATCCCTGCAATTCCAGCACTTTGAGAGGCCAAGGCAGGAGGATCACTTGAGCTCAGAAATTTGAGACCAGCCTAAGCGACATGATGAGACCTTGTCTCTACAAAAAGTCAGAAAATTAGTAAGGTATGGTGGCATGCACCTGTAGTCCCAGATACTTGGGAGACTGAGGCTGAAGAATCTCCTGAACCCAGGAGGTAGAGGCTGTGGTAGGCTATGATTGTGCTACTGCACTTCAGTC